TGTTGGAGTGTGAGCAGGGTAATATTTAGTGAAGGGATTCAGGGAAACCGGTTATTTTTATATAGCCGGACTTGAGTCCTGGAAATGGGAAGTACAATGCCTCCACTCTAAAGGAGGGGTTTCGGGATATTAGCAGTTTGGAGGGATATGCTGTGTATCTTTATATATATATGTTTCTAAACTGTTGTGTTTCTGAGCACCTCTGCAAAAACAGTGATTATGTGCGAGTGAGGTGAAAGTGTTGAATGATGTTGAAAGTATTTTCTTTTTGGGGATTTTCTTTCTTTTTGGGTCACCCTGCCTCAGTGGGAGACGGCCGACTTGTTAAAAAAAAAAAAAAAAAAAAAAAAAAGTCCCTGAATTTTTTTATTACACTGTATAAGTAATGAATTAGCATTAATATTGGTTTAGTTTGCCCAAAATGCTTTGCATAACTATGGACTTATACATGAAAAAGAAGCATCAAAAGAAGCTGCAATAAAAAAAAATATATATTAAGAGCTTAATATTTCAGTACAAGCTGGTCTTCACTCTGTATGTTTCAGTTATGCTTCAGATTTAATCTACCGAGGATTGTTGGAAACTGCCAATTTAGTAAAAAAAAAAAAATAATGACTGCAGTAATCTTTTTAGTGGCTACCAGCTTTATAAACCAATTTATTTTTTGATACTAAATAATATACAACAAACTCTAAAATTAATGCAAATTTATATTTTATGAAGTACAGTACTCTATTAAAAATTTGCACTGGTTTAGTGTCCAGAAGTGCAAGTGATTTAGTAAACTGTAAATGACACTAAACTGTTTGCATAATTTACAGTATTTTCTTTCCAATCTGGCCTTATTCAGTACAGGCACATATACCATTACTGTATGGTACAACTGTGCTTGGCCTTGACCTGTTTAGTGCTATGGACCACATATATTTACGAATAAAAAGGAACAACACTGCAACTGGAACAATACACAAATAACCTGCATAGGAGAATGACTAGTGTGACTAGATAATTGAACCTAAGAACATAAGAAAGAAGGAACACTGCAACAGACCTACTGACCCATGCGGAGCAGGTCTATGTCCCATCCCTCCCGGATTAGTCCAATGACCCACCCAGTCTGGTCACCTCCACTCAAGGAAGGAGCACGGCACCAGACCCAGCAGCACAAGCTAGTAAGGTCCAACTCACACCCACCCACACCCACTCATGTATTTATCTAACTTATTTTTAAAAATACACAACGTTTTAGCCTCAATAACTGTACTCGGGAGTTTGTTCCACTCATCCATAACTCTATTACCAAACCAGTGCTTTCCAATATCCTTCCTGAATCTGAATTTTTCCAACTTGAAACCACTGCTGCGAGTCCTGTCTTGGCTGGAAATTTTCAGCACGCCATTTACATCCCCTTTATTTATTCCTGTTTTCCATTTATACACCTCGATCATATCATCTCTAATTCTACGCCTTTCGAGAGAGTGCAGATCCAGGGCCCTCAGTCTATCCTCATAGGGAAGATTTCTGATACATGGGATCATCTTTGTCATCCTCCTCTGTACGTTTTCCAGAGCATTTATATCCATTCTGTAATACAGTGACCAGAACTGAGCAGCATAGTCTAAATGAGGCCTAACCAAGGATTATACATGTATAGAGTTGAATAACAACCGGAGGACTTCTATTATTTATACTTCTAGATATGAAGTCAAGAATTCTGTTAGCTTTATTGCAAACACTAATGCACTGTTGTCTTGGTTTTAGATTACTGCTAACCGGAACTCCTAAATCCTTTTTGCAATCAATAGTATTAAGATCTACATTATTTATTTATATGTCACATGGTTAATTTGCTGTCCAACATTTAGAACTTTGCATTTGTCTATATTAAACTGCATCTACCACTTCTCCGACCACTGCATCAGTCTGTTCAAATCATCCTGGAGTGCTCTAATGTCCTCATTAGAATGAATTGGACAGCCTATTTTGGTGTCATCAGCAAATTTGCTTATGTCACTATTTATTCCCTCATCTATGTCGTTAATGTAGATTGTGAACAAGGGGCCCAACACTGAACGAATGAAGAAAGGGGGTGGGGGATGATTAAGAACATGAGAATATAAGAACATAAGAGGGAACGCAACAGTAGGCATATGGTCCATGCTTGACAGGTCTAACTCCGTCAACTCAGTTTATTCAAATCATCCTGGAGTGCTCTAGTGTCCTCATTAGAATGAATTGGACAGCCTATTTTGGTGTCATCAGCAAATTTGCTTATGTCACTATTTATTCCCTCATCGATGTCGTTTATGTAAATTGTGAACAACAACGGGCCCAACACTGACCCCCGAGGAACACCGCTTGTGACATGCCCCCATTCTGATTTCTCCCCATTTATGCAAACTCTCTGCTGCCTATTTGTCAGCCATGCCTCTACCCAGGAAAAAATTTCTCCTCCTATTCCGTGTGCCTTAAGTTTCTTCAGTAGCCTCTGATGTGGAACTCTATCGAAAGCCTTACTGAAGTCCATATACACAATATCATATTCATTACCATGATCTACCCCCTCAAACACCTTAGTGAAAAAAGTTAGTAAATTCGTAAGACAGGAAAGCCCCTTTGTAAAACAGTGTTGAGATTCATTAATCAATCTGTGCCTATCAAGATGGCTACGAATTGCTTTGGCAATTATTGATTCCATAAATTTTCCCACTACGGAGGTAAGGCTTATTGGTCTATAGTTCGAAGCCAAGGACCTGTCACCTGCCTTGTAAATAGGTATTACATTTGCCATTTTCTACTTATCAGGCACTATGCCAGTTTGTAGTGATATGCTAAAAAGATTAGTTCCTCTTTACATTCCTTTAACACCCTTGCAAACAGTTCATCAGGACCTGGGGATTTGTTAGGTTTTAGTTTCTCTATTTGTCTAAGGACCATGTCACTAGTTACCGCAATCGTGCATAGTTTATTATCATCCTGTTCTACATAATCTATTATTTCAGGAATATCACTAGTATTTTCCTGGGTGAAAACTGAGAGGAAGTAGGTATTGAGAATTTCACACATATTCTTATCACTGTCAGTGATCTGACCAAAGTTACTCTTAAGTAGACCAATCTTGTCCCTATACCTGAAAGAACCCTTTTGGGTTAGTCTTTGAATCCCTTATGACCTTAGCCTCATAATCCCTTTTTGCTTTTCTTATTCCTTTCTTTATTTCTCTCTTTAATTGAATATATTGATTTCTTAACTGCCCATCCCCTCTTTTGATACACCCATATATGCCAATGAGATGTTTTAATTTATTGTTCATCCATTTGGGATCATTTTTGTTAGATCTAATTTCCCTACTTGGAACAAAAGTTATCTGGGCAGCTAGAACTATGCTCTGAAAAATGTCATATTGGCAATCAAGATCACCTACCTGACCCATAGTCAGGACATCCCAATTTAGACCACCCAGGTAATTTTTCAGTCCCATGAAGTCGGCCAAGTGAAAATCTGGGACAGAGATTTGATTGCGGTTATCTGGGTAATTCCATGATATGTTGAAACTAAGTGATTTGTGATCACTTTCCCCAAGCTCATCATTAACCTCAAGATTATTAATTAGCGAATCTTTGTTGGCAAGAACCAAGTCAAGCAGACTGTTTCCTCTAGTTGGTTCTGTCACAACCTGTTCTAAAAAGCAATCCTGAACCGTATCAAGAAAGTCACTAGACTCAAGATTTCCAGTCATATTGGACTGAAATGTTGTCATAAGTTATTCTCCTATGTGCAGGTTATTTGTGTACCTCTTACACTGATGAGCCTGGTATCTGTTGAGAGAAAAGGCCTTGCCCCTTCCCTCATAGGGCTCCTATGTACCTGCTGCCTCAGGATTGGAGCCAGTTTGGCTTGGTTCCAACCCTGAGCCCAGGGGCTAATGAGCCAGAGCCTTGTCGGATACTGAATGCTACTGCATTTGCCGGCCACAGCCTCCCACATCTGGATACAATGCATTCTTCAGTGTCCTCTGCAACCCCATGTTTATGGGGGCCCTATTCCTGATAATTTTCCTGTTTCTGCACCAGATGGGAAACCCTAAGAGTGCTTCATTTAAAATGGCTCCCAGTTTTGGGGGGAATTTGCACTAAACCTTGCCTATTCTTTTATTTTAGCCTGGACAGACTGCCTTCTCCTCTGGTAGATCCTGTACCTGTGGAGAGATTACAGGGACTGCTGTGCACTGTTTGATATAGCAGCCATCAGCTCCACTATTAACAGAGTGGTTAACAAATTGGTGCCTCACTTGATGCCACAAGCTACTCCTCTTGCTGGCCATGGCCTCCTGTGTCTGGCACTTACTGTCCATCCCAGATTGTGGCTTATTTACTGCCTGCGGGGAGAACATCTTGCTCTACCTACAAGTCACAATCTTGGCACTCATGGTGTGTCAGTGTTTATTTACCTTGATGACATTCTCGTAATGGCCTTGTCCATTTCTATATCCATGGAGCTGATGACAGGTTTACTAGCATTCTAGACAGATTCCATATCAGCTATGACAAATCTTTGCTCCTATACTAGCACTCCTTGTCTATGTTGGGTGTACAGTTTGATTTCACCAATATGCCACTTTGTTTCCATGGTGAAAACTGCCACTTCTTCACATGTAAACTTTAACCTTTTTGTAGGATTAACAAGAGTTTGTAGTACAGTGGGGTAACAATGCCTCAGCTAGTCTTTGAGATAAACCAAGGAGGCCCACACTAACAATGTTTATATAATGTTTACATTAGCAAATTAAATCCAATTCCGAGAAAGAAAAAACATGGCTGTTAACAAGAAATGATTTATGCTGATTAAATTAAGAATTCAACTAACTCACAGACAAATGTAAAAATAAATACTAAAGCCTAACTGATGCTATATATAAGTATGTACTGTATATGATAAAGAAAATAAGTACCTCTGTTATGAAACAGAAAAAAAAAGACAAACAAATAAATATTCTTTACCTCCCTGAGATCTGAATCTCTGAGCAATGCTCTGTTCTTTGGCTGTAGGTTTACTCAATAATTCCATTATTTCTTCACCAACTTTTTTTGTTTCACGCTCCCGGATGCTTTGGGCTGATAACAAGCTCTGTAAATGTCACACACACACGAGGATTAGCATAAAAAAGTTACATCATGGGCAGAAAACATGTATTCATTCTTCTTCAACACACTGACTGTCTCCCACCAAGGCAGGATGATCCAAACAAGAATCACTTTTACCATCATTCGTACATAATCACTGTCTTTACAGAGGTGCCCAGATACAACAGTTCAGATGTCAATCCAAAGAGTTAATATTCCAAACCCCTCCTTTAAAGTGCGAGCATTGTACTTCCCACCTTCAAGACTCAAGTCTGGTTAACCGGTTTCCCTGAATCCCTTCATAAAATATTACCCTGCTCACACTCCAACAGCTCATCAAGTCCCAAAAACCATTCGTCTCCATTCACTCCTATCTAACATGCTCACACATGCCTGCTGTATGTCCACACACAACCTCTTTTACCCCCTCCCTCCATCCTTTCCTAGGATGAACCCTACCCCTCCTCCCCTCCACTACAGATTTATACACCCTCCAAGTCATCCTATTTTGCTCCATCCTCTCTAAATGACTAGACCACCTCAATAACCCCTCCTCAGACCTCTGAATAATACTTTTAGTAATTCCACAGTCCACACCTCCTAATTTCCACACTACAAATTCTGCATAATACTTATATCACACATTGCCCCTAGACATAACATCTCTGCCTCCAACGTCTTCCTTGCTGCAGTATTTACAACCCATGCTTGACACCCATATAAGAGTGATGGTACCACTATACTTTCATACATTCCCTTCTTAAATATTTTGTGGAATGTTCATGCTTAAAGCTGGAAAAAGTACTTTGTGAGCCAACAGGAGAAAGGAAAGGCAAGACCAACATGTAAAGCTATATGTGTTGATTACAAGACAATGAAACTAAATCATAAATTTTACAGTGCCTTGCTAAGCTCTAAAGTCATGTTGCTCTAGGTTGTGGATTATTTTTTCGTTAAACTCATACCCAGACTACTTAGCACCCTTACAGACTAATAGAGGTATGCAATAAGACTAGTTCCAGAGCTAGAGAGTATGAGCTATGTCGAGAGATTTTGTAATTGAATCTAGCAACATTGGAGGACAGAAGAAGCAGGGAAGACATAACAACACAAAATACTCAAGAGGAATTGGCAGGGTTGACAGGAATAGGTCATTTAAGAAGCAGGGAAACTGGTATTTGGGGGCACAGCTGATAACTAAAGACAGATGAACCACAAGGATGTCAGGAAGTATTTCTTCAGTCTTAGGGTGGTGATAAAGAGGAATGACCCTGATAAGAAAGTGGTGAAGGCAGGCATCATACATAATTTTAATAGCAAGTATTATCATACTTGTTATTACAGATAAATCTTCCCCCAGGAGAATCATCTGTAAAAACTTGCATTTATGGTCACAGTGGGGCCCATGCTAACTTCCTTATGGTGCATAAATACACCTAGTTACATGAATCATATTGTAGCTGGCTGGCCCAGTGGTTAATGCACTGGCCTGAAGCTTTAGGACTCACTTCCCATGGGTTCAATTCTCACCTGTTCCGTAGTTGAATCTCCCACGTGTGGGTTAGTTGTACATTTTTATCAACCTACATTTCTTTAAATAGGTCCCTAGAGCAATTTGGATTCAGCCCATTAAATGCCCAGTATTCTTGAACAACATTTTAGCTTAGAATCCAATGATTTCTATAACAAAATTGGAAGTAGAAAGTTATTAGCTTAACATCAAAATCATTTAGAAAAACTTGTTCAAAGTGTGGAAGCCCAGCGCTTTTTATATGTGATGGGTTAATAGAGGAAAATCTTAAAAAATATGTACATGACAGGCCCCGCTTCACAGCACTTCGCTTTATGGTGTTGTACTAATGCAGTGGTTTTCAATTACAGTGGACCCTCCCTTTTCATTGATCTCCGTTATCGCTGATTTCCGTTTTCACTGACTTTTTCGTCAAAATACTGGTTCCATTTTCGTCGATTACCTCTGTTTTCATTGATGGCACAGAACCTATCCAGTGCCCAGAGCACACACAAAACCGCCTCCCATATGCATTCTCAGGCAGTGTCATGTTGTTTCTCCTCGGTGCATGAACATATCCTGCGAAGTCATACGAAATATTTCGTAAAAATCCATTGTTTTTGGCACTTGTTTATTGTGTGTGACTGCTAAATAAGCCACCATGGGCCCAAAGAAAGCTTCTAGTGTCAGTCCTTTGATAAAGAATGTAAGAAACAAGATAGAATCCAAGAAAAAGTTTGTAGAAAAATACGAAAGTGGTGGTGGTAGAGGGTGGTAGTGATGGTGGTAGAGGGTGGTAGTGATGGTGGTAGAGGGTGGTAGTGATGGTGGTAGAGGGTGGTAGTGATGGTGGTAGAGAGTGGTAGTGATGGAGATTTGTGCAATGTGGAGTAGGATGGAAAGATCTGTGACATTAAAAAACAAAGAAAGGAAATGATCCTGGATAAGGACTTGGTACCTAGTCCCCATATGGAGGGGGATTCCCCTTCCAAAGAATAACATCTCTTCCCTCTCCCCTCTTCCCTGTCTTCCATCCACCAACAACAGCCTTCAATAAAGGTAAGTGTCATGATGTATGTTCATTCTTTTGTGCACGCAAATCTATCTGTAAGGTAAAAAAAAATTTTTGTTAATATTTTTGGGTGTCTGGAATGGATTAATTGGATTTACATTATTTCTTATGGAGAAAATGGTTTCAGTTTCCGCCGATCTCTCTGGAATGGATTAAACATGAAAACCGAGGGTCCACTGTATACCCATTCTTCATTTATTCAGACTTCCTACAATAAATATTTTCACCACTCACTATAAGCTAAGGAAGAAAATATTTTAAGGTAGGTAATGTATGTAATGTATATGCATTTGTAGGCCTAGCTCTACTGCTCACTTAATATATGATAGTGAAAACATGTTATCAGTCTTTTATATGCATTTGAAAAAAAAAAAAGAGAGAGAGAGAGAGAGAGAGAGAGAGAGAGAGAGAGAGAGAGAGGAGAGGAGAGTGAGAGAGATGAGAGAGGAGAGGAGAGAGAGAGAGAGAGAGAGTGGAGAGGAGAGTGAGAAGATGAGAGAGAGTGAGAGAGAGAGAGTGAGAGTGAGAGATGGAGGAGAGAGAGAGTGAGAGATGAGAGAGAGAGAGAGAGAGGAGAGAGTGAGGAGAGAGAGAGAGAGAGAGAGTGAGAGAGAGAGAGTGAGAGGAGAGAGAAGAGTGAGAGAGAGTGAGAGAGAGAGAGAGAGTGAGAGAGAGAGATGAGAGTGAGAGAGAGAGAGAGAGTGAGAGAGAGAGAGAGAGTGAGAGAGAGAGAGAGAGTGAGAGAGAGAGGAGAGAGTGAGAGTGAGAGAGTGAGAGAGAGAGTGAGTGAGAGAGTGAGAGAGAGAGTGAGAGAGAGAGTGAGAGAGAGAGTGAGAGAGAGAGTGAGAGAGAGAGTGGAGAGAGAGTGAGAGATGTGAGAGAGTGAGAGAGTCGAGAGTGGAGAGATGAGAGACAGAGAGACAGAGACAGACAGAGAGAGAGACAGAGAGGGAGAGAGACAGGTGAGATGAGACGAGAGAGAGAGAGAGACAGGAGAGAGAGAGGACAGAGGAGAGAGAGAGGACAGAGAGAGAGAGAGACGAGAGAGAGAGAGACAGAGAGAGAGAGAGACAAGAGAGAGGAGAGAGAGAGAGAGAGAGAGAGGACAGAGAGAGGAGAGACAGAGAGAGAGAGGGGGGGGGGCTATTTTTTACTTTACAGCAGTATAGCCCAGAACCCAACCTGCTGTATAATCAGGGCCCTCCTGTGCTTAAAATATAGTATATAGAGAATTGCAGGACTGAAAAAGATCCACACTGATTATATGACTGTACTGTAATAAGATACAAAAAACTAGAGCAAAGATATACATAAGAATTGCATAATTTTTTACTTAAATATGAACTTTATTTCCAACTTACCATAACATCATCATCTTGAGTTTCCTTTCGCTTATCTTTGTCATTTTTATTCTCCTTATCTTCCCTTAAAATTTTCAGAGGAGGTTCATCAGATAAAACGGCAACTTTTTCAGTCGCTGGTCTTTCACCTAAGAAAAGCAATTCAGGTATTGGCTTAAATTTTCAATGCAGTGCCTACAATAATTTAAAGATGCTGACACTGAAGCATCCTTCAAAAACATTAAAGCCATATGTGTCATGAAGTACACCTACCATCCGACTTACGACCTGCTCAACTTACGACCACTCGACTTATGACCGTGTTTTTTATGCCAAATTTCTGGGAAATAAACAACTATTTGTGTTGTACACAGTGTTTATCCTAAACCTTACAGTATAAAATACAGTACTAACAGCATAAAAAGTAAAGTAAAACATGAAATACCAAAATAAAACAATAAAACAAAGTCATTACAAAAATGTTTTGTTGATATTCAGTAGTAAAGTTCGACTTACGACCATTTCGACTTACGACCGGTTTCCTGGAACCGAACTTGGTCGTAAGTCGGATGGTAGGTGTATTTGCTTAACTGATCCCTGTACAACACATGACGCAAAATTTTTTACTGGTATCTTGGATCACCTGAAAACTGAAGTATCTGCTTCTGAATTCCATCAATTAATGCGAGGATTTTTTTTTTTTTAGCTTATTTAAGCTTTTTGTAGAATTGAAAATAGTAGTTTATGAACATAAACATCAATGATGCAAAATTCACATACAAATCATTACAGTATTACAAAGTATTACGAAGTGGGAAGTCTGAATGTGCGTGGACGTTGTGCAAATGATAAGAAAGAGATGATTGTGGATGTTATGAATGAGAAGAAGCTGGATGTCCTGGCTTTAAGTGAAACAAAGCTGAAGGGGGTGGGAGAGTTTCAATGGAGAGGAATAAATGGGATTAGGTCAGGGGTTTCAAACAGAGTTAGAGCTAAAGAAGGAGTAGCAATAATGTTGAAGGATAAGCTATGGCAGGAAAAGAGGGACTATAAATGTATTAATTCAAGGATTATGTGGAGTAAAATAAAGATTGGATGTGAAAAGTGGGTTATAGTAAGCATGTATGCACCTGGAGAAGAAAGAAGTGTAGAGGAGAGAGAGAGATTTTGAGAAATGTTGAGTGAATGTGTGGGGAGTTTTGAATCAAGTGTGAGAGTAATGGTGGTTGGGGATTTCAATGCTAAAGTGGGTAAAAATGTTATGGAGGGAGTAGTAGGTAAATTTGGGGTGCCAGGGGTAAATGTAAATGGGGAGCCTTTAATTGAGCTATGTGTAGAAAGAGATTTGGTAATAAGTAATACATATTTTATTAAAAAGAGGATAAATAAATATACAAGGTATGATGTAGCACGTAATGAAAGTAGTTTGTTAGATTATGTATTGGTGGATAAAAGGTTGATGGGTAGGCTCCAGGATGTACATGTTTATAGAGGGGCAACTGATATATCGGATCATTATCTAGATGTAGCTACAGTTAGAGTAAGAGGTAGATGGGACAGCGGCAGCGGCAGCGGCAACAGGAACCTTGTCCTCTATTTTTACTTCTACCTGAGGTTCCCAGCAGCCCAGTGATGACCTAATCAAGACCCACATAACACTAACATGTGTGGATACCCAGAATGATATAAATCAACTGCAGAAACCACCCAAAAGTTCACAAATTACCAACTAATAGGACTCGTACTACCACCTCCTACCCCGCTGCCACTGAAGTGATACTCCACAACATTCACCCTTCGCCTATTATTCACCCGAAGCCACAGCCAATGGACAAGGGTCAGAACAATAAAAGAAGATCCAGTAACCAGCTAAGGACTCCTAACATCAAAGGTGAGAGCAGTAAAAACATGAGGAAAACTTGTGGTACTGCCAGCCAGGACACAACCCTCATCACCCACCGGCATCACCACAACACACGACAGACAACAACAAACATGGCTGCTGCCACAGTCCAAGATAACTCCTTCCCAGTATTTGATGTCAAGAAGATCACCGACCCAGAAATAGCTAAACTCCTTACGATTCAGAACCAAACGATCACCAAACTAACTCAAGAAATGCAGGAACTAAAAGCTAGCAATGCAGATTACCTCAACAAGATCACTGCTCTAGAACATAAACTAGACACTCTGGAACAACAAAGCAACACCCACACCCAGTCCCTAGACCCCTACAGCACTCTAAAAAGACCAAGTCACCCTACTTACTACCACATTACAGAGGAAAGATCAAGAGTGCACCAAACCCAACTTGCCGATGTCATAACCAACTCCAAGACCATAATGACCAACAACAGCTATCTGATGCTGTTGTAGTTAACAGCAAACATCTCCCAGCCACAGTCACCCAAGAGACCTGCATGGAGACCACCCTACAGCTCATCAAGGACCACCTTCGCCTTAACATACGTAGTGATGACCTAAAGGATTGCAAACTGATGGGCTACCAAGCAGGTAAAAAAACAGTGCTGTTAAAATTCCAAACTAGCCTACAAAGAAACAACCTACTAAAAACATCTATTTCTATGAAAACTGATGTTTACGTCAATGAGTGCCTAACCAAAACAAGACAAAACCTTCTTTATCGGTATGACACGATTCTTAAGTCATGTTGACGGCAGTGAAGGGACTTGAGCTAGAGTTCGTCACGGCCACGCTAGCTGGAGATTCGTCTGTAAAAACTTGCATTTGTGGTCACAGAGGTGCCTGTGCTAACTTTCCTATGGTGTAGAAATATACCTAGTTGGATGAATCTTATTGTGGCTAGCTGGTCTAGTGGCTAGCACGACGGGCTGGAGTTTTGAGACTCTATGACCGCGGGTTCAATCCCGGCCGGGGGTATGGCTTCTTTATCGGCTAAGAAAATTACGCTATGCCCAAAAAATCCACCAGTGCTTTGTGAGGGATGGAAAAATCGCAGTTAGGAAACAGCCCACTGGGAAGAGATACTTCATCTCTACAGAACATGACCTTAAAACATTCCTAAGTGAGGCTGGACTAACAGAATCAGAGTAAAGTGCAGATAATACCCACAGTCCACAGTTAGTGTTATATTGTCATAAATTTGTGCCCCCCTAAAATTCTAATACCCCCAACTACTTTTGATTGTCATTGTTGTATTCAACGACCATTCTACCTCATAGTCTTAATTTGTTTAATATCTACAGAATCTATCTCCTTTTTTTACAACTTACCTCATCACTGTTCCATCTTATTTTATTATAAACTAGCCATAACTTGTCCTCAATAATTCTACCTCACTTTAAGAAATACTCAATTGCCCAATTTTATTCTAAAATCCCTATTATTGCCCAATTTTGCTTTAAACTATATTGATCAAACTTATTGTAAACTTCTTTTATTGACCATCTTATTCTATATGTACTTTTTTAAACTAGTATTTTCAACTACAACTTTTATATTATCCTGTCTACCATCTTACTAGCATATTATAACCAAGTCATTGCCATTTTTATTTTTATCATTTTTTTTATTATTATTCTTTTACTACCTTAACTTGTGTATTTTATCCTGTCAATTTAAATCTAGTTATACTCTAATTCTTGTAAACAACTTATATAAGACCTTAGTGCAATTACAATTGAGAGTCTTGTTCTATTTTAAATTTGTATTTTTATATTACTAGTTTATACCTAGTTGTACTTTAGTTCATTCCAGCACAACACATAGACAACATCAACTTCATTATGTGTAGTAGTGACTATACTCTATATGACCAAAATACTCTAGCTATATACTTATCCAAACTTCCCACCACTACAGATATCAGTACTAGAACTCAACACACAACTCAGGATATAAATAACCATAATTTAAACCTAGAAGATGATTGATTACATTGACCCTGATCTAAACCTCCATAATCTGACACCCAATCAAAACCTATTGGAAAGTAACTGCCTTTATTACACAGCAACACAAGCCAGCACTATCCTAAACAATGCTAAAAGTCTATCAGTACTTAACTACAACATCAGGTCCTTAAGCAAACACTATGATGACCTCCTGGCACTCCTTGAATCACTAAAGACAAACCCTTCTCCTGCATTATTCTTACTGAGACCTGGCTTAAGCAGGACACAATAGATATCTACCCTCTACCAGGATACACAGCAATTCACAACTGCAGACCAAACCAAGTTGGGGGTGGTATTGCAATCTATTACTCTAACCAATTATCTTGTATTAGCACCACTTGCTTTAGTGATGAATATGGGGAATACATTTTTGCTAATTTTACTGTAAAAAACCTTAAGACACCTATAACAATTGGTGCCATTTACCGGATACCTCACACAAACATCCCAAATTTCAGTGAGAAATTAAAGTCACTAATAACAAACAGACAAATGAATAAGCACCACCTTCTCTTAGCTGGAGACTTCAACATCAACCTTGGCTTACTAGATGATCAGCCTGTAACTGATTTCATCAACAATATGAACAACACACTTCTCATACCAACAGTAACTAAACCAACCACGCTCACTGAGACAAGTGCAACCATAATAGACCACATATGGACCAATATACTAGCCCCCCTTAAATCAGGGATAATCACAGATAGCACTACAGACCACTACCCTACCTTCCTCCTGACAAACATTAGTAAACCACCACTTGAATTCAACAAAGTCTCATTTAGACTCCATGACGAGGCCTCAATAAGGAAGTTCACAGCTGACCTAGAGATTGTTGACTGGCCTACAGAATTCTCCAAGGCCAATGGTATTGATGACTGGACAGACATTTTTCTTAACAAATTACTTAGACTATACAACAAACATTGTCCTATAAAAAACGAAACAGATCACAAACAAACGGCTTGGTTGCCCATGGCTAACCAGTACCATTCTGAAATCCATTGACAAGAAACACCAATATGAAAAGCAATATAGACAGGGCTTAATACACAAAGATATTCTTAAACACTATTCATCAGTTCTCACCAAAGTAATAAAGAAAGCCAAACAACTATACTACTCCAGTAGATTCACAGACACTAGAGGAGATATAAAAAAGACCTGGAAAACACTCTCTCAGATTCTAGGGACCCACAAACTGAAAA